TTTCTTTTATGGCTAGGGAGGTTGAGCATTTCTTCATGTGTCTATTGGCCATCCTTCTTTCTTCTTCACAGAAGTTTCTCTAAGTCTTTAGCCCACTTATTTATTGGGCAGTTGTTTCTTTGAGGATTTGTTGTTGGGGGATTTAATTTTTTGAGTTCAAGGTATGTTTTAGATATGAGACCCTTGTCCATTGTATGACTAGTGAAGATCATCTCCCAATCTGTGAGCTTTCTTTTGATCTTGCTAGCTATGTCCTTTGCCATGTAGAAGCTCTGCAATTTCATGCAATCCCATTTGTCCAACCTTTATTTAATTTGTTGTGTTTCTGGGTCTCTATTAAGAAAATTTCAGCCTGTGCCAAGGAGACCTAGAGTTTCTCCTATTCCATCCTGTAATGTTTTCAGAGTGTCTGCTTTGACTCCAAGGTCTTTGATCCATTTGGAGTTGATTCTGGTGCATAGTGATGGATAAGGATCTAGCTTTAGTTTTCTACAAGTGATTAACCAATTTTGCTAGCACCATTTACTGAAGAGGCTGTCTTTATTCCATTCTATTTTTTTAGCTCCCTTATCAAAGATTAGATGGCTATAGGTCTGTAGGTTCATTTCTGGGTTTTCAATTCTATTCCATTGGTCCTGAGGTCTGTTCTTGTGCCAGTACCAAGCTGTTTTGATTACTATGGCTTTGTTGTAGAGTTTGAAATTTGGTATTGATATTCCTCCAGTACTGTTCTTTCTGTTAAGTATTGTTTTTGCTATTCAGGGTCTTTTATTGTTCCATATGAATTTTTGGATTGCCTCTTCTATTTCCTTGAAGAATGAGGTTGGAATATTGATAAGTATCGCATTGAATTTGTAGATAGCCTTGGGAAGTATTACCATTTTCACGATGTTGATCCTTCCAATCCAGGAGCATGGGAGGTTTTTTCACTTTCTAAGTTCTGTTTTGATTTCCTTTTTCAGGTTTTTAAAGTTTTCATCATAGAGGTCCTTCACTTCTTTGGTTAATTCCTAGATATTTTATTTTTTGTGGGACTATTATGAATGGAGTTGCTTTCCTGATTTCAGCCACGTTTTTCTCATTGTTGGCATACAGAAAAGCCATTGCTTTTTGAGGATTAATCAAATGCTTAGTTTTTGAAGTTAGGTATATGGTGTGCCTAGAACGAACCAGAGGCCATTTTTCCTTTTAAATGGATATCCCATCTCTTGAGTTTTTACACAGCAGAAATCTCTCCATCTGGCCCCAGACCGGGGAGTAAGGAAGGGAAAAATAAAACTTTAGTCTTCCAACTCCACATAAGTTGCAGATAGAACCACAACCAGATTCACACTAAGTCAGCCTAGGCTAATGGGTTAGGAAATGGATATATTTCTCTAGTATTTTTGAAGCTGGAATGGACAATAAGCATATTCCAACAAAACTCTTTCCATCATCAAAGAAACTGTCCTAA